GGCTTTATACAAACCTCACTTTAAGAGTATATTTAGTCTTCACGCCTGTAATCCTAGCACTCTGGGAGGCCGAGGCGGGCGGATCGTATGAGCTCAGGAGTTCGAGACCAGCCTGAGCAAGAGCAAGACCCTGTCTCTACTAAAAATAGAAAGAAATTAATTGGCCAACTAAAAATATATAGAAAAAATTAGCCAGGCATGGTGGTATATGCCTGCAGTTCCAGCTACTTGGGAGGCAAAGGCAGGAGGATTGCAGGAGTTTAAGGTTGCTGTGAGCTAGGCTGGCGCCATGGCACTCTAGCCAGGGCAACAAGAGTGAGACTCTTTCTCAAAAAAAAAAAAAAAACCAGTATATTTAGTCTTGATAATTATCTAAGGATAATAGTATATAATGTATATGAATTATAAACATACATATTTGAAGAGTGTTTGAAATTTTTTCCTTAAAAAAAGTCCCTTGGTAATATCCCACTGTATTTTACATGATAAAGGCACCAATAAAAGGTAGGGTTTATCCTCATTATTCACAGATTATCTGCAAATTCACCTACTTGCTAAAATTTGTAATCCCCAAACCAACATTTGAGGCACTTTATTGGTCACTCATAGACATATGCAGAGCAGGGTAAAATTTGAGTTACCCACTGCACTCATCCCCAGCTGAGGCATTATTTTCCTGACTGAGGTCAAGCAAGGTGATGCTATGCCTTCTTCATTTAGCTCACATACTGTAAAAAAGTGTCCTTTTCGAGGTCTGTTTAGTACCATGTTTCTTCATTTTTGTTGATGAATTTAGTGTATAGAATGGCTCCCAACTGAAAGTACTATCTAGTGTTCCTAAGTGCAAGAAGTCTGTGATGTGACTTACGGAGAAAATACTCCTTAGATAAACTTCCTTCGTCCAGGAGTTATAGTGTAGTTGGCAGCGACGTTCAACGTTAACAAACTACCTATATGTTAAATAAGATGTCTTTAAATACAAACACACAGAAACAAGTTGTGTATTGATTAGGTGACGAAAATGTGACCAGAGGCTTGTAGGAACCTAACCCCACATTTCCCCTAGGAGCTAAGGGTTCAGTACTCATTAACTTTGTGTCTGTCAGGACTTTATAGGACATTATTACTATAATGACAATCAACTTAGATCCCTGGTCATTTTCACATTAATATGAGATTCTTCTTCCTTATACTCTGTGTCCCAAGATTTTTTTTTTTTTTTTTGAGACAGAGTTTTGCTCTATTGCCCAGCATGGCGTCAGCCTAGCTCACAGCAACCTCAAACTTCTGGGCTCAAGCAATCCTTCTGCCTCAGCCTCCCTCATAGCTGGGACTACAGGCATGTGCCACCATGCCCGGCTAATTTTTTTCCATACATACATTATTTTAGTTGTCCAGTTAATTTCTTTCTATTTTTTAGTAGAGACGGGGTCTCACTCTTGCTCAGGTTGGTCTTGAACTCCTGACCTTGAGTGATCCACCTGTCTCGGCCTCCAAGAGTGCTCGGATTACAGGTGTGAGCCACCACGCCTGGCCCCAAGATTTCAAGTTAGACTATCACACTACCTTTGTAAGTTTCTGAATTCTAAGTGTATTGTAATTGCAAGAGCTATTTATTTTCAGTATTTTTTATACAAAAGGGGGAATGCTGGTTGTAATTAAATTAAAATTAAACATTACAAAATGCTTGTTTTAAATGTATTCAGCTAGTCGTCCATTGATATCTGTGGGGAATCCTCCTTGGATACAAAAATGTGCAATGCTCAAGTCTTTTATATAAAATAGCGTAGTATTTGTATTTAACCTACACATACCTTCTTGTATACTTTAAATCATCTCTAGATTATTTATAATACTTTTAATACAATGTAAATGCTATGGAAATAGTTGTTATACTGTTTTTTTTAAATTTGTATTTTTAAAAATTGTAGTGTTATTTTATCAAATGTTTCTGTTGTATTGTTATTTTATCAAATGTTTTTGATCCACGGTAGGCTGAATCTGTGGATGCAAAATCCATGGCTACAGTGAGCCAACTATATAGTTTTTTATTGTTTCTGTTTGAATCTTCTTTATTAGTAACTTCTCATAGAGTTACCAATATTATCTGCATGAGCTGTGACATAAATAATAATGTATATTTGTTATGGTTTGAATGTTTGTCCCCTCTGAAACTTACACTGAAACTTAATCCCCAATGTGGCAGTGTTGAGAGGTAGAGCATTTAAAAGGTGACTGGGTCATGAGGACCTTGCTCTCATGAATGGATTATCCATTCATCAATTAAAGGGACTGGTGGTTTTATAAGAGGAAGACAAAGGTGAGCTAGCATGCTCAGCCCCCTCACCATGTGATGCCCTGTCCTGCCTTGGAACTCTACAGAGAGACCTCGCCAACAAGGAGACACTCAACAGATGCACCTCCTTGACCTAGCACATTCCAGCCTCTAGAACTGTGTAAAATAAATTTTGTCATTTCTTATAAATTACCCAGTTTCAGGTATTCCATTATAAGCAACAGAAAACAGACGACAACAATACTGTATTAGTAAGAGAATTCTTTACAGTCATATAACAATGATCATGAAAAAGTCCATCCCTTTTACCACTTGGAACTAAACATTATAAACTCCAATGAATTAGTTCTCTATAGCTTCCTCTGAAGATAGGACTATAACCTTCTAACTAGACAAGATAGTTACCTACCTTGCAAAAATCCCTTTTATGTGAATCTGCCCTGCCAGTAGCTCCTACAGAAGACGCAGTCCTACAAAGATAGTTGAGTTCATCTAGTACAGTGGCCTTTGAGGCAGAAAGACCTGAATGTAAACCCCAGCTAATAACAGAGAGATAGGGGCAACCCATAGAGTGGGGCCATGGGAAATTACAGTAGATCAAAGCTGAGAATAAACAGAAATTAGGTAGGCAGACAAAGAGAAAAAGATTAAGCCACTTGGTTTCCGGACAAAAATAAACTCACACTGGAGAACAGCTAAATAACTAATGCCAATGAGGACCACATTCCTGCTGCTGAAAAACATAAAGCTGCATTAGAGCCTTCTATAGTTATTTTATTTATCTTTTAACTATCTTGGTCTTCCTGCTACAGTTATGTTCTGGTGAGATTCCGTTTTCTTAATTCCATGACCCACAACCATCCAATCCCCCCCACCCCCAACCCCACTTACAGTGGCTTACCCCAAACTGAAGTTGGAAAATTACATCTGAGGGAATATGAGATTTAAGTATCTAAGAACATGGACATGGAGGAGGTGCTAGACAAAACTAAGGTCTTTTCCAACTCCAAGGCCACAATTCTAAGTTGTGATCCTACTGAGTATTTTCTACACGGTAACACGAGTCCCTATAAATTTATCACTACCAAGTACTAGTTCTTTTCATGATCTTAATTAGATCTTTCATACAGGAATGTCCTAGTTCCAATATTCTAAGATTTCATGAACATCCTCATTGAACTTCATAATTACACATTTTAATAACTTTTCTTAAGTCTTACTTCCAGAATGTAGAGTCCTTACATTTTTAGTATAATCCAAGCCCTCTTGCACTTCTAACCCAGCAGTATATTTTATACTGTAGATACTGTACTGTAACATTTTTTTCATAGAGCATTGGACCTTGGATCTCTTTCTCTGTGCATAAATGCCTACTGCATTCTTCTTTAAAGACTGATATATTGTTCCATTATACAAATGTACCATAATTAATATTTTATCAGTTCTTACTAACGGACTTTGGGTTGTTTCCAACTATTACTATTACAAACAACGCTTCAGGTCAACATCTTTTTAAATGTGTATTTGCAGAAGATGCAAAAGCAACTAAAATATCACTGGGGCATTAAGTTGCTCCTTTCTGAACTGTTCTGAGCTTATACATGTCTTTCAACAGGTATCAAAACTAGAAAGCACTCAAAAGTCTAGTTGCAGATGCAAAAATAATTAGAAATAAAAAACTTTCCATTAAATATAGATCTAGGACTTGGAAAATTTTGGTTTTTCTTAGCACAGAAATAGTGACAAACCAGGAATTAAGAGAGTGAGTGTGGCACGATATTAATGGACAAATCGTCTTTTTTGTGGGACCTTATTACCTTGAACCTAAATGTTAAAAGGTTCCAAGGCAAAAAAACACACTTTAAATATCGAAGAATTTTAAATACCTCGAGATGAGGTTAAGAAATAATAAAAGCTGAACAGTGGAAGCTCTGAAGCTTCGGTTTGATTCCTTAATGTTCCCAACTACAGGAAGTTCAAATATCACATCTGTTTAAAAATGTTATAGATGCATATATACCTGAAGAAAAAAAAAAAGGAAACACGACAAACGTCATCGGTCCTGCCTTCTGTAACATCACTCCACCCGCGGCTAGCCGGGGAAGGAGGAGACCGGAGCCGCATCCTCGGAGCCGAGCCGGCCCGCACTGGGGTCGGGCCGGTAACGGCGGCGGCGCGCCAGGCCGCCGGCCGGGAAGGAGGGGCTCCTCCGGCCGTCCCTCCCAGCTCTCACCTCAGCTCCTCGTCCACACTCCCGCGGGGCTGTTCGGCCGACGCCACCACAGAGGAAGTCGTAGAGGTCTTGTTCTTCAGGATCCCCTTGATCGGCCGGTGCGAGGCCGTCGAGGCCGCCATTGCCGGGCGCTCCGGCTTTCGGCTCAGGGTCGCTGCTTGGCGTGGGGTCCGCGAAGAGAAGGGTCTCGGGCGCTCGCAGACACCCGCTAGGCAGCCGCGGAGCCCGCTTGGGGCTAAAGCGGCCGCACCTGCTGTCTCGGAAACGGCCACCCGCGTCGTTGTCACGACACAACGACCCCGACGCCAGAGCCGAAGCCGCGCGGGTGGCGGCCCTTCGCGCGCCCTTGCCGGAGGCACTTTACCCGCGGCTCGCGGAGAGGCACCGGCCTAGCGCCCCAGCGCTGGAAAGACGCCGACGCCAAAGCCAAGCGGACCCGCCCTCTCGCGATATCTAGGGCGGGGGCGGGGGCAGGACGGGGGCGGGGCGGGGCGAGAACAAAGCCAACCTCCATTCCCGCCCCCTCCGGCGCTCTCGCCGTGCTCACCCCTCCCCCGCGCGGGGCTGGGCGCCCGGGAGCTTCCTCCCAGAACCTGGCTGGGGGTTCGCGGCTTGCTTCTGTACAGACTCGAACATCTCTCAAGCATCCTCACTCCCGCCACCTTATGAAGCCGTGTTGTTATTTCTATTTTATAGATCAGCAAACCGAGGTGACGCCAGTCCCCACAGATATTAGCTGACTTTCACAATAATATCTCCTCTTTCCATTTAACCTGCACAAACAGCTTAACTCCTTATGAAATTGTGTAATATCAGCACTGGAGTGGGCCTTAGAGACCTATTATGAAATCATAGAATACCGACTCCTGTGAAATCGTGGAATGTCTGTCTGCATTGGAATACTGTAACCTCTGTTTACCACTGGAGAAGCTGATGGGCAAAGAGGAAGCGACCAGCACGGTCACCTGGCCTGTCCAGAGCACGTGAAGACCGCCAGGGAGAACCGCATGTGACATGGAGGGGCCGTGCTGCCTGTAAGACAAGGAACACCTGGCCTACCAGAAGCTAGTGGAGAGGCGGGGAAGAGACTGCCCTCACAGTCCTCAGCGGGAACCAGCCCTGCTGCACCGTGACCGTGGACTTCAAGCCTCCAGACCTGAGACAGGACCTTTCTGCCGTTTAAAGCCACCTGGTTTGTGGTACTTTATGGCCACCTTGTGCACCCCCTCTCCTCCTGCTCCCCTCTCCAGTCTACAGCCCACTCCTCTCCATGCTCTTTTCTATTTCCCTTTCCTGATCATGCCTCTTCGTCACCCTCATGACAGGTCAGAGCAGCGCAGACTGAGCCACCTAGAACTGCCACATCCGGTGGACCAGCCCCCTGTGGATTCACAGAGGTCTAGGTCTGGAAGGGACCTTGTCAAGCAGTCCCATGAGGTGGCTCCCCAGCCTCTCTCTCCAGCAACCTCTGTGGCCAGCGGTGGCCACACCCCAACACAGTTCATTCTATCTTTGGACAGCTCTGACTCAGAAAGTTCTTCGTTGGATTGAGCTCACACCTGGTTCCCAGCAACATCTGTCCACTGGTGTAGGGTGAGAGGGAGGATTCTATCCTATCTCACTCCTACAGCAGCAATCTCTCAGGTCTCTTGTTTCTGGGCCTCAAGTGTCATCTCCCTTAACACTGGCTTTGTGCCCTGAGGACCATGGTCAGTTCTGTGTCCTTAGGCCTCTGCTCCTCAGAAATGGCTGCAGGGTTCCTGAAAATGATTCTGTTTTTATTGTCTGGCCTCCAGCCCCCAGCTGAGTTCCTGGCACTGAGGAAAGGGGCGAATGAATGCTGGATGGAGATAGTGGGAGGGAAGTGAGCAGGAAGGGGAGAGGGAAACAGCTTTGTTAGTTGTAGAGCTGAATGTGTTCTCCCGGGATTTCCCCCAGCCAGGGGCCTCCACAGCCACCTGTGGCACTGGCCCCACCTCTGTTCCCATCCAAATGTCCACCAGAGCCCGCTTTCCAGCCCAGGACTGCCCAGTGGCTCTGACTTCACACCCTGCCAGCCCTGTGCAGCCCATGGGGCAGAGAGAGAGAGTTCTCAGTGAGGGAAGCAGGATGGCCACTTCTCTTCCCTTCCTGGATCCTCTCCATCCCAGCGTCCAACACCTGTGTTGTCTCTCCTGCCTTGTCAGCAGGAGCTAGGTCAGCAGTGGTAAGCCTGTTTGCACAAAACTTCCCTGTACGTTCTAAATTATTGGGCAGATTTGCTTTGTTCCTGCTTGGGCTGGCAGTCATCACCCTGAACCTAACTGTGACTAGGCCCTTAATTAAGCATTGCCTTGCTTTGAGACCCTCTAATGAAAAGGGCTCCCACAATATGACATAATGTTTTATTACAGGTAATAAACTAAGAAATATCAGAACAGGAAGTGATAAAGGGTTCTCTGAAGAACCTTGGGAAAATGTTTCCTTCATCAAAAGTTACTTTTGCGTCCTGTGCTATTTTGTCCACTCCCAACCCCAATGAAAGTTAATGCAGATGAAAACTTCCTTAACACTTAAAAAAGTGAAATATTAGTTTGGCTGCAAGATGGTGAGTGCCAGTACTGCCTTTCTTTATATTTCAGAATAGTTGAACCACTTTATTCCTCTCTGTGGCCCAAAGAAGATTTCTAAATGCCTTTAAGCAGAGCTCTCCTTCTATGCCTCTGCTGAGGTTTGCTCTTGTAGGAAGTCTTCTGGACCAAACAGCCCAAGCACTGAATTTGGCTGTATTTGTGTTATGTTTCCTGCATGTTGAGGGTTTGGCTGCCAAGACATGGATTGTGAATGAGATCTTCTGTTTTGGTTTCTGTTTCTGGAAGTAGCTATTGAGCTCAAGGCATTTCGTATTTTAAAAATATATACATGTTTAAAGATGATCTGACAATTGTTTCTGCTGTCTTTTTGAAGACTTTATTCATCATGGTTCCCTGAACCAATCTAACATGCTTGGAGGAGGAGAGGAGACGTTTCTAAAGTACCCTCTTATGTGACTGAGTCAATTGGCCCTCTGTTCACTGGAATAGACTACTAAGGCTGACACCACTGGGTTTCTCACCAAGAACAGAGTTCCACAGCTAGCAATGGCTCCCATGGCTGGCTTGAGTCATTAATCAGGTTCACAGAGTAGAGAAATGGGTAATGCCCCACCCCAACCTCTGGAAAAGTACCTAAGAGTTGTGACTTAATGTGACCACTGAATCAGCAGCAATTCTTTTCTTGCCAAGAATAGCATATTGTTCTTTTCCTTTTCAGGCAATCCCCCCATGGGACAGGAAGATTACAGATTTTGAAGTATTAATACATAGTAGAAATTCATGGTAGCAGGGGACAAGATTACTTAAAATACAAAAAGTATGAGAAAGAGACAAGAGCAGAGATTAATCATTTTCTGCTTAAAAAATGGCTTAGATCTGCAATCATGAAACACTCCACTGTTTCTCCTCTCTTCAAAAACATCTACAAAAAGGATTCCTTAACCTCACCACAAAAGCCTCCAAGTGTACAAAATGCTTTTCTGAGAAGACTCACAGGGTATATGCCTCCCTCTGGTACACAAAGGTTTTATTAGTCCCTAGATGTTTCTTGACCCTTTAAAAACTAGTTAAATCCAGTTTCCTTTTTTTAAAACCTATGAAACAAAAACTGGAAAGAAAGAAGGCAGGATAAGTAGTGTGACAAGCCTTTAAATGTTAAGTAAGAAATGTGAATTATTTTCTTTGCTAAGCTATGAATTTATCTTGTGCCTGCCAGAAATCACTCAGCTTTTCATAACTGTAAATTTTCCTTAAGTGTTAACTGGTTTTGTTTATAAATTACTGCAAGAAGTAAGCAAGCAATACCATATTTTGTAATTTCATTGTGTCTATTGTGCCAAATTCTATTGCATTTTATAATTCTATGAACTGAAAATGGGATAAGGAGTATAGATTTTGATTCAGAATGTATTGGTATAGACACTTTTTGGAAAACTCGAAATATAGTTTGAAGCCTAAGTAGTGAAAAGTCACAATAGGAAGATTTTTTTTAATTTAATACTGTATTTATGCTCATTAGAAGTTTCTGAAATTTCTAATTTTTCTTTCACTGTTGTAACCATCTCCAGATTGGTCTACAGATCTCCACTTTCCTCACTGTCCATTCGTCCTCATACTGTACTCATATTAAAAACAAATGGGTTATGTAGGATCTTTAATTTATAAATTCAACTCTGCTTTGCTACACATGGTGTCAGGCATGAGGCAAACAGATCCTTCTCTCTTTGTTTTTCACTCAAGGAACCAGTCGCGGTGGCTGCTCATTGCATAGGATAAAGTACAAATTCCTCTGACCTTCACAATATGGCCCCATCTGTTTTTCTAGGCTCTTTTTCTTTTCACATCCCCCATGTTCTTCACACCAATCATGCTGCCCTTCTCAAGGTGCCAGAGCACCCCATGTTCCCTTCCTTTTTCGTGCCCTTACTAATTTGTGTGAAATGCTGTCACCTATTCTTGCCCTTAAATGACCCCAGTTCAAAGGCCATCTCCTTCCCTGACTCCACGCAGGCAGAGTTGATCTTCACCTCCTTTGAGAGCCCGAGGATCCATTTGCATCCCTGTGTCTCACAGCATCATCATTCTGCAAGCGTCTGAGCCTCCCACTGTGGCCTCTTTGGGAGTAGGCGCATGTCTTTCTCCTCTTACTGCCCAACAGCATGGCTTAATGAATGCAGTCTCTGGGTAAGAAACCTTCAATAAGTGCTGCTTGAATCAGTGAATAAATGAACAAACTGTTCTGAAATCCCCCCTCCCTGCATAATGGTGCCATAAAACATCAATTTCTTGGATAGCAATCTGATGATCCATCTTGTTCTACATGGCAGAGTGAGGTATTAAGAGCTATTATATAATGCTGGAAATCAGAAAGACTGCTGAGTAGATAGAGAAGGCATTAAAAGGAGGAGGTTGTCCTGTCAACGATCAGTCAGAAACCTCCACTGAGGGCTGTTATGTACCAGGCCCTTTTCTGTTTTTAATTTTTTTTTTTTTTTTGTATGCCTGGTCATGCAGAACCAGCCCATTTTCTAAGTACTATTGCTCAGTTTATTTAGTAAAATAAACTACAGCAGGTATAGTATTCCCTTTCTTTCCATTTTAGGTTCAGAACCTTTTCTTAAAAAAATTCTTCATTATTAGACCCTCCACCCACACATACACCCATGTGCACACGTGTACCCCAGTTTCATGTATCTGTCCCAGCTCTGGTTCTGTGTTCTGAGGAAGCACTGCTGCTGTTTTCACCAAGTGTGTCTTCCTCTGTGTATCAGCCAGGTGTTCTTGATGGAGTGGGCTGTGCTCTAGATGATGTTCAAGACCCTCTGAGTTTTCCTGTGGCTAAGCAGGGGTGGGTGGAAACCATCAATAGGAACCACAAAGCTCTTACTAGAGAAATCAGTATCTAGTTGCTTTCTCCCCACGGACTCTGCCAGGAGAAAGTGGTGCTAAAGGCAACTGTGGGGAAAAGCTCAGGCTTAGGAATCCAGCAGCCAGGGCCATGTGGGCTGGTGGTTTCCCTGCAGACTTCGATCTGTGAAACATAAAGCAGGAAATGCCAGAGGCTTCCAATACTCCTTTCTCATATCTCCTATCAAGAACATTCTAGGACACAAAAGAGTTTGCCTCTCCTAATTTCTCATATATGGAGATTTTCTAGCCAGCATCTTGAATGGAATTCAATTAAAAATGAAGCCAACGTGAAAACTAGCTGTGTTTCTAGATTTAAAATTTCTTTTATTGTGGCACCTATACTGTTACCTATACTAGAATGTTCTTTCTACCTGCCTGTTGTTAATGGTTTACCTACTTGGAAGCCCAACCCTGTCCAAGACAGATCCTAATCAACACAAATTTTATCTTAATTTTATGAAAGTCTACCACACTCCTAATATTCTGATGTCTTAAATACACTGCTCAGTGTGCTTGTCAAAGGAAATTCACTTAAAAAAATTTTTTTTGCGCACCCAAACCCCACGCTGTTTTTATTTTTACTTATTTATTTTATTTATTTTTTTGTTGAAGGCAATTCTATTTGTCACATTTCAGAAGAGAATCCAGAGCATGTCTGACTGTGTTAGGAAGGGCTGCAGGTGCAAGGTTGTTGAGCTGAAACTCACTTTGATCTTGCTAGATTCCTCCATAAAGGAAACAATTAACTAAGGCTGTGGAATAAACGCCCTCAGGGTTTTTCAAGGTCAGGGAGAATGCATAAAAACATTAACTGCTTTTGTTTCATATTGTTTCTGCTTCCACAGAGGGACACAGAAATCAAGAAAATTTATACAGAGTGGGCAGGAACAAAACCTTCTGGTTTATCAAGGCAGCATACTTATTAAATGTGAGATTATATTTCTTGAAGGAATAGAATATAATACAATGCAGTTAGTGCTGTAATAGCTCTAAGCAGAATTGAGCACAAATGGTTTTTGCTCCCCCCACAAGCACTGAACTCTTCTTTCAATCTTTTCAGCTCTGGGGCCTAGCTAAGCGCTTCCCTCCTGGGACAGCTGCTTTCAGGAGCCAACTAGGCTAGTCCAGCCAGTTCTCAGAGAGTCAAATGGTGTGGTGGACAAGCCCTTTCACACCCAAGGCCAGTCCTCTGGCTGGGCCTCCCAGACCTGTCACCCTCAGCTCCCTGGACATGCAGTCTCTTTCCCCACTGTCATTTTCAGGCATCTCAGTGCAGCTTCTCCTCCATAGTCTGTCTGCTGGGCTCCAGCCTCCATTCTGCACAAACAAGCTGCTTATACTCAGATGATATTCAGAATATTTGATAGCCCAAATGATGTGGGCTGGCCCCAATCAAGCAGAAAGGAAAATAGCCATCATACAGGCATGGTTTCATGGAATTCATAGAGGCCTCTGCTGTACCAAGTATTACCTCTTTCGTTTGGGGGCTCACTGGGGAGACCCAGGGGTGGTCAAGTGGTGGGGAACATCATGGAGGCTCAAAAGAGTAGCTGCCCACCAAGTGGTACTGTTTTGCTGGTCCACACCATGAGTACCAGCCACCTGAGACCCCAGGCCTCCCCACATTGCTGCCTGCACTCCTTGCCTTAGCAGAATTCTGGTTTTTCTCTCCCATGCAGCTCTTGCAAATAATGGCTGGCAGTTTACCCATGTGCCACGGAGCACAGGGCTGGGCAGAAGTTGGGTTTTCTCCTTGCCTCCCAAGGCTGCTGCCTCCTCCATCATCACTCTGCCCATCCCCACACCCCCCCAAGGGAGACGCTCCTCCTTCGGGAGGCTCCTGTCCACTGCCTATCCCTGCCTGCCCTTCCAGTGGCTGCCATCTGCTAAACTCCTGCCAATCTCTAAAGTCCTTCCTTCCTCCGGTCCTCCCTCCCTCCCTCCCTCTCTCTCTTTCTCTCTCTCTCTTTCTTTGTTTCTTTTTGACAGAGTTTTGCTCTGTCACCAGGCTAGAGTAGAGTGGCATTATCATAGCTCACTGGAACCTCCAACTTCTGGGCTTGAGTGATCCTCCTGTCTCAGCCTCCCAAGTAGCTAGGACTACAGGCACATGCCACCACGCATGGCTAATTTATTTATTTTTTTTGTAGAGACGGAGTCTCACTATGTTGCTTAGGCTGGTCTCAAACTCCTGGCCTCAAGTGATCCTCCACCTCAGCCTCCCAACGTGCTGGGATTACAGTCGTGAGCCACAGCTCCCAGCCTTCCAATCTCTAAATTCCATCAAGAACTTTGGCTCATTTTTTTTCTCATTAAATATTTATTAAGCATTTACTGTTTACAGTTTGCTGCATGTACAAAGATGCACGATTCTTGATTTTTTTTTTCTAAGACAGAATCTCACTCTGTTGCCCAGGCTAGAGTGCGTGGCA